GAACAGGTCGAAGTGACGGCGATCCGTGCACATCTGCAGAACTCACTAGCCCTTTACGAGAAGAAGATTGGAGTGAAAGCTTGTCAGCGCCACAACCAAGCAGGTACGTCCAGAAGGCGTCCCTTCCGGATATCAGCCACACTTGCAGCCCTCTTCGTTGGGCAATCAGCTGCAAAGTGGGATTGCCCCCGTGCTAAAAAAGAGAAAAGCAATTCAACGGAATCCCTGTGATTACAAGGGGCACACACACAGACACGCAATTTGTAGCATGTTACCAGATCTAGGCCGCAGCAGGGGTTTCTGAACTCCCACGGCCGCTGCTTGACAGCTTGAGAGGAGCAGTCAGCCAAGCGTGACAAGAGCCCATGCCTCAACGTGCGGCGTGGCTTCGTGGCTTCTCCAACCTGCGACTGGATACAGCGGTGCGGGTCAGAAACCTGCGACAGAAGCTTTGCAAGTTGCTGGAAATTCTTGACAACTAACTGATTAACTAAATAAATATATATATATATTATATAACGACTTATGTGACATCTCGCCATCGGTCAGAAAGTAGCTTGGTTTAGGAGTTACTGCAAAACGGTGGACACCTGACAAAAATCACACGAAGTCTGCAACTATTTGAGAAAGGACCCTCAGACGAGCAAGAAAAACCCAAGGAAGTGGAGTTCATGTTTGAGGAAGTCATGGTCTTTCCATCACAACATTGAATGAAGTCCTCAAAACTGATGTTTTTTCATGGTTTTTTCCTTGAAGTCCTTTGCTTAGAGGATCCACTTGAAGGTTCAGCCAATTCCTCCACAAAAGCCGCACGGGCCGTTCCAAGGCGCTGGTGAATTGAGGATGAAGATCCAGGAGCGGCGTTTGTGGTCGGGTCGTCCGCTGTACGGGGTCACGTGCTTCCAAAGTGTTTCATAGAAAGGATTGGAGGACGTGAACGTGAGAGTCTTTCTCAGTAAAAGGTGTTTTGCGGCTTGGGAGCCCAGTTAAGGGATTTTTTGTGAAGGGCGATCCATGAGAAATAAACATCATTGAACATCTATCACCATGCAGCCACCGGGATGTTCTGAACGTATGGTCCCAAGATGTTCCAAGACATGGTTTTGGCGGTGTGAAATCTGCGTGTTGTACTATGTGTGTTGTTTCTGTGCAAACAGAAACGTGTGAAGACTCCGAATTGCGCCCGATCTGTTGGGCTCCCAGGGCGGCATGGAGAAGCCATGATATTTGCTGAACATCATATTCATTCATCATGTTTTTGAATGTAAGCATTTTAGGAAATGTGTGGGCAATGATGAATCTCAAAATACCTCAAATGATGTTCAGATGTTCATGTTTGGTTTGGTCATGTAACCATGCTCGTCATGTTTGGGGTTGCTCACCTGTCGGAGAATGGACCATCTGGGGCGACCGATGAGAACGACTATCAGTACCACGCTGCGCCCTCCCCGCGTGCGGCGGTCGCATGCGGTCTGATGCGGTTCCCCGCTGCAGGATGTCTCTGCGCTCTTAGACCGAGAGTCCACCACGCGGCAATCAGAGGCGAGACTTTGTATTCTTGCCTTTCCCCAATCGAGAGTGGTCAGTGGCCAGTCACAGTGTCACAGTGGTTGGAAGAGTTGCCTCCTACTTATCATCGTGTCAGTGGTGTCAAGTGGTGTCAAGGATTTAGTGTATGTGGGTTGACCGTTTCATACCTTCTCCTTTCCACTGCATCCGCCCTGTGTATCGGATTCGACACTCCATGAGACTGCCATATACCTGGACCCTCTAAGGGGTGCCCAATGGAAGCCTATAGGGGACACCCCTTGGAGGGTCCTGGTATGCATACATTGACCCCCCAGTCAACACCCCGTGGCCGTTTCTCGGCAGTCCTATGGCAGTCCCAGACGGGTCGTGTTTGGGTTATACATTCTTCGTCCAAACCCGAAGACCGAACTTCACCCTTCCCAAACACTCCAGTCCGGCTGCCATATGCCGATCAGTTGGGGTGGGTTGGGGGGTCAATGTACGCACATATGGCAGTCCCATGGAGTGTTTGGGCTTGTAGGTTGACCGTTTCACCATGGTCGTCTATTCTGTGCGAGTGAAACCCGTGTGGGAAAACAACATCCACAGCCATGTGGACTCGGGGCGACGGACACAGACCAACACTGCAACATACTGCAACAAAGGACGACAGCAGAAGGCCAAGATGCAGTTTTTTTCACTCCAGTCGTTGGGCCGGAACAAGACCTGTCAACGCTTGCCGATGTTGTTTGTTCTTGGACAGGACCCAATAGAGAGGGAGAAGTCCAGAGGATTGAGACCATTCGTGCTGACAAGTTCGGTTGATGAATGGCTTGTGACACGTCTTCTATGGCAATTCGTGCTCCGCGCTTGACATTGGAATGCACCGAAACGCTGGCAACGGCGGACTGGTCGGTTGTCCAACCGCACCCAAGCGACCGGGAACCGAGGGGCGACCGGGTCGGACGCTTTTCGTCCACCTCTCTGGAGCATTCGGTGCAGGTGAAATCGACCTGCGCGCCGATCCAAAGCTACCCTTTCTGGTTGGTGGGAAAAAAACCATCTGAAAGTTGGGGATCCATCTCCATCTCCCACACAAGTTCTTGATTTCTTGGAATTATGACTGTGGGGTGGTTTACCATGCACTCCAAAACATGTGCAACATACGTTCAACATCACATTACTTGCGGGTCCGTCCGGCTCCGCCACAACACCTCTAGTAATTCTAGTATAGTAGTATGTGAGGGTGATAATATGACACTAATTCACACGAATTCACATGTGAGTTGCATGTGGCACACAACACATGTAAGTAAAGAAGAACATCACTAGTTTTGAACGAGGCCTTTTGTAACTTACTGATACTAGGTTCGGATAGACATATTATATATACACACATAATTCAAGTCTTCAGGATTGTTCATGAATCTCGGATTGGTGAGGATAAACCTGGATGTATGAAAGTCTTTCCCATTGGCCTCTTCTACTTCCCATTGTAGTCTTGAAATACGGAGACCCCCAGTGCTCGGGTGTATTATTGGCATTGGTTGTCAGCCGCTATGCGTATGAGGAGTAAAAGCACTGGGGGCGTGTCCCCTTTGAGCCAACATCTCAGCCAATGGGTTGACTGGTCTACGTTTTCAAGGGCGGGTGTCCCTGGAACCGTATCCCAAAAGGGAACATGGGATGTCAGCACGGTGTTTCATGGAGCACATGTCTTCGTCGCTACCGGCGCCGTAAAGCGGGCGCGGCAGGTCAATGCCATGCGCCGGAGTCCAAGAAATTCACCGGGGAATGATCTGAAATAGATGTAGACCAAAAGAGCATCTCCCTCCCGTTTTACATCTCCAAATCGGGCGCTTGATTGATGAACAACCACAGTCAGCATCAAAAAATCGCGTCCCGCAGCAACATTCCCTTCCCGGAGTTCTTGTGCGAAGCTGTTTCTTTGTGTCGCGCGTCCGGTTCCTTCTGTGTCGCGTTTTCGCAGCATTCTCCCCCGGTTCGAGAGTGGACTAAAAACGATCGAACGCACGGGACTTCACGGTCGACCGTCGTTGATGCGAAAGCAAGCCGTCTTTGCCCTTGGAACATGGTTGATGCGCGGTAAGCTTTTCTGGGTCAACGGAGTGAAGGAGGATGTTTGTCCCATTTCAGTGTCACGTTGTTTGCATCGGAGACGAAGGCGCCGAGACCGGCTTCGATACTTGGGTCCTTGGGGTGTCGGTCCCGACACCAGTTTTCTGACAAACCTGGGTCTTCCAGGTTGGCTGGAAGACGTTCCTTATTAAAGGTATTGCATCATCACAATCCTCGGGCATTCTGCTCATAAGGAGCAGGGGCTGTACAGTACACCAAGCCAGGACCAGGCAAAGAGATATGACCAGCTGAAAGTACATGGTAGTTCAATGTAACCAGCCGGGCTACCAACAGCCCTTCATTCTGACACCGGACCTTTGTATTCGAGTGTATTGCACAAATCCAAAGATATGCCATCGTGGAATATGCATAATGCATGAAAGACAAAAGTATCTATACTGACAGAATGCATTTTAGGAGCGCTACCCATTTGGCCTCCTACTTGGGCCCTCCAAGCCTACATAACAGTCTCCAATCACCTCAGAAGGTATGTGGATCCATCTAGGCCCACATCTCTCGGCCGACGTTCTGACCACCGATCCACATCCCTCGGAAAACCGCTTTGAGCTGGGGAGTTCATACCGGTTCCCTCCCAGTCGTTCTTCGGACGGCGTGCGTCGTCCCACACCGTCCGCGGTGGGATGGAACGGGACCAACTCCGTTGGGTCGAGCTCCAAAGGTCAAGAGTGGCGCTCGGAGATTGCCTACACAGCGAAGGAGAGCTTTGCTTTCGGCTTTCGAAGGCATCACATCCAGGGCGGACATCTGGGCGTTCACCAGGAGCTTTTTGAGACGTTAATCATCGGATGAAGCTTCAGATAGGACCTTCGGACCTGGAATGGGATGTATTTGTTTTTTCATTTCGGGGTTGGCCGGGTTGGCTGAGCCTTTGGGATTTATTTGGGAATGAAGTTATGAAGCTCTCAAAAAGTCGTGACGAAGTATGCATGCTAGCGAGATCGATTGCGATAAGGTAAACAAAGAAGGACGTATCAATACGTGTCACATGTATTATGCGCCTTTGGACTGAGCATTACACGAACCTCAGGATGGCGCACCCGTCAACCCCATGAATCACTGTCATGCAGTAGGGTGCCATGGCGTGTCAAGACCTGCTGTTTCATCTCAGATGACGCTTGCTGTTAGAGCTTCGTGTCGTACCCACAAGCTGTCTTAACCCACTTGCTTCTGCTATGACCTCCAGAAAGCGGCCATCGGTTCCAAGAACAGCCTGCTGCGGCACACGTCAGCCATAGAAACCGGCAAAACTTGGCAAAACCATTGACAAACTGGTTCAATATCCCTCCAGTTGTACCTCAGATAGTATTTGGACCCTCTAAACCCGCCCCAAACACCTTAGAAGGTACTTGGAGCCCTAGGCTATTTGACCTACAAGGCCCACACGAGCACGAACTGATCAGCGCAGAAGGCTTGAAGGGTTGTGTTTTTCCGAACCGCAGTGACCCGAGGCCCGGCAGTTGCAGCAAAAACGGCTGTTGCGGGCGGTTTGGGACTTCTAGTCGGCCTCCCAAAACCCGGACACGCAGCGCAACCTGGTCGTTTTTTGGTCAAAAGTCTATGGCGTAGTCATTTGCAGGTAGCCTGGGTGAAGAGGATGTCCTCAACAGCTCCATGCAACTTCAAAACGCACGCGTTTTCTGCTCGCAGGTTAGTACAATGGCCTGGGTAGTCCTCTTTCGCCTGGCGAAGTTGGTGTCGGGACTTTTGTGTTGGTGTATCCGATCGACCCCGGTTGCAATCTGCGAGAAGCTCCTGTTGGCGATGCAGAAGTCCACAAGCGAAAGCTTTTGCCTCACCAATGACCAATGGAGACTTGTTCATGATGTTCATCACCTCCAAGCCTTCCTGAGTATGTGAGGCAACGCTCACTTTGAAGGTTAGTAGGGCAAAGCACTACAAGGAAGGAAGTGACTGGAAACGGAGCCAATGAACGTACACACACACACACACACGCGTAGGCTTTTTGAATGAGTTTCATGTTGAGTTACCTCTCATGCTGACATAAGATTGTATAATGATAACAAGTATCAATACTGAGGGCTGTGAAAACTGACTCGATGGGTTGACCCAGTCTCATCAGACGGGTCACCAAAAATGGCCAGTGTGTGTGTTCTTTCAAACCCCCGATCCAAATGGACCGGACTGCGAGGTGTTTTGACCAATTCCGCGTGCGCCGCATTCCGCTCGCGCGCCACGAGCTGTGCGACCAGAGGACATCGCGGACGAGCTGCTGCAGCGGCGCCAGGAAATGGATGCCGTGAAAGAGACCCTGAAGGCTGGACCGGCTCCGCCATCCGAAGGAAGATGCGACCATCCGGGACCGCGGTCTTTGCTTGGGAGCACCGCTGTTTTCCGTTTTTATTCACGGCATGTTCCACATGAGTTCGGGGTGCTGAGGAGTTCGAGTTCGGGCATGTGGAGTGATTGATCTAGAGGGCCCCCTGAGTTCGGAAGATCAAAGAGAAAAATTAACTTTTGGGACTGCTTGGACTTTATATACTATAACTGGCACTATTTATATAGCCTCTTCCAAAGCCCTTATTGACATGGTGATGGTTTTCCATGTTGCGGTCAAAACGAGTGGTCCTGCCCAGTGGTCACTCCTGCGCCCGGCGTGTGAAACGCATGGTGCTCTCGCCCGGTCACAGGCGGTGCAGAGCCGAGAACAGGGAGGCCAGAGCCACCACTGGTGCGGTGGACGGAAGCATTTTTGGCGGTGGGCCCTTGTGTGGCTTAGGCAAGGTGAGGAAGGTGCTATATCACTATATATATATATCATATTGTGTGGAATATAATGGTCGACCTTTGTTTCTGTCTTGGTGCTATGGACCGTGTGGACTGCATTCATTCAGTAAGGCGGATGTGTTGCTGTTGGGGCCTTTTTATACAACCAACAAGGCTGGGCCTTCCAGAAACTGTCTCCTTCATACAACAGCCATCTGTTCAGGGTCTTATGCAGTTGACAGGTGTTTGGAAGGTACCAACAGCAAGGGAGATGTGTTTGTTCTTTCCGTAAGCTCCCCAAGGAAACTCCCTATGCAGCGCCCAAACAAACGGACTGTGATGTGATAGAGTTGGCCATAGAGATACCAGCAACGTGTGATTTGGGCCCTAAAAACTTGAAATTTGCTACTAGATGCTACTAGAAGTTCTTCCCTTTTGCACCGATGGTGCATGTGCACATCTTCACTTGATCTGCCTGAAACATGCTGAACGTTCGTGGTGCGAAGTGAGTCTCACCCTTGGTGCCTTGCAATCTTGCGGCGTTAGTTCGTGTGCACTGGGCACGTCGGCAGCATGGGCACGTTTGTGCGGTCTCAGGCGCGCCCATCAAGGAACTCACGGAACTCTTGGAAATCGAATGCAAGGCGCCCTCCGTCCATCCGGACCATCCGGACCGGACCATGCGGAGAACGAGAGTGGTGGGGTTTGTTTTTTTTTTGCGGTTTTTAGCCAAACTGGCACATGGAATGGAACTGGCCCTTTTTAATTGGTCACTTGCTACTAGTTTCCGGATCCAACTCCATTGCGAAATGCTCACGAAGTGGTCTTTCAAAAGCCTCTGAACTGGACAAGAGGCTTACCCTTCACAGTACTCGTTAACAGGCCTGACTAGGAATCGCCACAAGCTGGTGACTTTGTTCTCCTCAAGTAATCTGAAACGGAACATGTGTCAACCGGGCACGTCCAAGCAGACTCCTGTGCGCCATGGGCAGTTCAACCCCTATGTCAGTTTTGAAACAAGAAGTTTGACCCAATGACCTATAAATTATAGTCGAGACTCAAGACCAGATACACCGTTACCCTAGCCTTCCGTTCGACCACTTAAAGAATGATTATTTACAAGGTTTTGTAGTCCCAGATCCTTAGAGTAAAGCAATGGATCTTTCGTAAGGATCATCAAATCAATGGTGGGCTAGAAATCAAGGCTTTTCGATCCAAAACCAAAGTCCTTTGGCCAGTGACCCACTTCTGCACTTCTGAAGATTGAGCAAAACTCGCTTGGTTCTAGGGGTATATGCATAAACATATCATGTATATAAATATATCCTCACAATTCCGAGGACAAACACACATGTAAGCATCCTGGCATATATATTATATTAAGTTAATATGTAACTATTATTATTGTAAACAAATCACACTTGATCCAGAAATATGCCCAAGAGAAACCCAATCTCCTTGGCCACCTCGTGAGGACCGTGAGGCTTCTTTCAAACAAATTGAGCTAATCAAAGCTCCAACAAGAAGTACCTGATCATCCACCGCCTGTTGCGTTGGTCCCAACGAAGGGCTTTCTGCAGCTGTTCTTCGACAACGACCTCCGACACGCAAGGCACGCAAGAACGATGTCGATGAACTTCGTCATCAGTGGCAGCCTCAGGGTTTTTGGTACTCCAGACTGAGAGTGGGCATGGCAAAATAGCTGTTTATTATGGTTCTATGGTAGCTTGACATACCTCATAGTCATCCATAGTCCATTTGGTTCATATTCAGACAGATGACATCCAACCCCTATGCAAAAGCACCTTTGTTGCCCTCTTGTAGCAAATGCTAGATCCAGCAAAAAATGTTTGAAAAGTCCGATTGGCCCCGATTTGCCATATCTGGATGCACGTTGGGGTGGCGAAAGGGCTGCAAACTATGGCATGCTCGGTATTTGGACATTGAACATTTGGTCCTTTGTTCCCGAACGCTGTTTTTACCCTGTGTTTTGTGATGTTCCAAATACTGGGAGAATCCCCCCAAATCTTCAAAACCCCCGGGGAGAAGGCAGTTGTTCATAGTTCCCAGACACGACCCATGTCTGTCATGTGTATATATATGCCTATACCTATATCCATTGACCCCCAAACACACCACCCCTGGCCCTTTCTCGGCAGTCCTATGACAGTCCCAGACATCAGTCGTGTCTGGGATAGTTGGTCTCCTGGTTTTCTTCTTAATCCCAGACACCTGGACCACCTGGATCTACTGGGATAGGCTTCCTCGATCCACCTGGGTGGGGGGTCTGAGATCTCACGAGACCCCGCAGCATTGGTCTTCGGCCCAGAATCGGCCGAGACCTCGCGGGGTGGGTCGGCGGATTTCTTTGGAACCGAAGACCAATGCTGCGGGGGGAGGGAGTCAGTCGTCGGCCCTCATTTTGGAAGACCGAGATGGCTTAATAGGGCACCATTAAAACATGCAAAAAGATCGGACTTTTTTGTGTCATCGTTTTGTTGACTTCAAATCTTTTGAGGACCGGTTGCCGGTGCTCGAGGTGGCCCTCCTACAGGGGAATGAAAGCTTCACCACACACGGTCTCGGCTCCCACTGAAGTTCGTGGATCACCCCATGCAAGACATTTTGCCCAGACGCTGCAAGCAGCCCTTGGTCCCTCAAAACCATAGGGATTTGAGACCCCAGACCCCTCCATATGAGGGTCCGACCCCTCCATATGAGGGTCCAGGAGCTTCTGGGTGGGTTTTTGTTGGAGTACCCCACGGAAGATCCAACAGCTGGAAAAGGATGAAAACGCTCTGTCAACCTGAAAAGGCTTCCAAACAACACAGCTCGGGGGTGAAAGAACGCCTCTCCCTGAAAGAAAACCATGGGACTTGTGTTCAGGATGGTCCGTGCCATCCTGTGAAGAAGAAGTTCTCAATCAGACGACTGAGAAAACTGTCAGATGACGGATGTTTCTTTTGCACAGCGCTAGCTGTGCGTGTGAGATCGTTGGAACCTGCATGGACCAATCATAATGGATCTTTTGCGTATACGAAGGACAGTTTTCACCTCTGGAATTTTGCACAACGACTGGGAAAAAAGCTGACAGACTTATGTTACATGATGTTCAGCTGTTCGGAAATGATAAGAAAGAAGCTGGGGTCAAAAGCCAGGAGATCATGTGTGGCGGATTCACATTCAGGTACACGGTTCTATTTACACTGCTGTTGGGTGACTCAACCTGCCAAGACTATGCTTTCGAAGGTTGCCTGTTCATTTTGCATGGCCGTTCTACGTGACCAGGCGTGGCCAGAGACAGCTGGGATCAAAACGGCAGATGTTTGGCTCAGAGATGAATCTGCTCTAGCTGTGCGCTGAGTGGCAGAGCCCAGAGCCATGGAGGAAGACATGGACTGGGCTCGGTTTGATGAGGCTTCAGTGCTCAAAGAGAGGCGCCTGCTGAGACTCTTCGTTCCTGCAAGTAGACTATGATGATCGCACGCATAGACTGAAGATAATGATCTTTTTGTCGCAGCGTGTTTTCACTCATGGCTGTTTCTTGAATTGCTAGACGCCCATTAAAAGGAAAAGGCTTTCGACGTGTGATGACTTGTTGCCCTGTTGCCTCGTCTCGAGGCGGCAGAGCGTGGCACGTCTCTTGGCGGGATCGACCGACCCGGTCGGCAAAAGACGGGCTTTCGGCGCGAGCGGTGTTTTCGGTGTCTTCAAAGAGTACTGTAGGATGACAAGACTTCAAAGAAAAGAAGTGCCTGGCAGCGCGCCTGGCAGCAACAGGGTGTTTACCTGTCCTCCTGAAGAGTGAGCAGAGAGATCCTGTTCAGTTCAGCTTCTTCAATGGAATTGTCCCTGTTTTGTGGACGGAATTGGGCGCAAAAAGCACGGAAAGAACCATGTAGGCACCCACCCGGCCACACTCCAAAAGCAACCATCACGATCTGTTGATCTCCTTTGTACTGATGACTGCTGATGAAGCGAATTGAACACATCATTTAAAAAGCATCCAAAACCTCGATATGATGGGGGGGGCTATTCCTTACGGGGAAAGAGGCGGATCCAACGTCCGTCTCTTCCTCCGCGCCAACGACCGGCCCGGTGCCATCCTTCGGGTCGGGTGAAGGGACTGGACCTTTGCCTTGTGGAGGGATGGCAGGTGCGAAGCGAAGGTGCGATACGCGCAGATGATTATGGCCGTCCGAAGAGAGAAGCATAGCCAAGATATCACCGTTGTTCCAGCAGGTTTTGTTGGGGATTTCTTTGGCAATGGATTCCGTCCGGTCTGAAGAAAGGGGTTTCATGGCCGGTCAAACGGTTCGATGATGTAACACATATGCTGCCCACCAGCCGATGGCCGGGAAAGCATGGTGCCGTGCGCTCAACCGGACTATTTCTTCTGTGGTCAACCAGAGTGGGCGACACCCAGCGAGTCCCGCAGACGGATTTCGCCAAGCATCGAATCGAGGAGAACATTTATTGGAGTCGATAGATCGATAGGTTGACATGCTACTATGCACACATATGGTTAAAGAAGTTACACAATACTGTCGACTTGCACATTGATATGTGAATCTGGCGGACTCTCCAAGAGCCGAGAGCCAAATCTTTGCAGCTGAGGCACTCAGAAGGCAAAAGACCTTGTGAACAAGCAGGAAGCGGTCTTGCAAGGCCACAACTTGGGTGACTTCTTGTTCGTATTGTGTGAGTAATTCTTGCCATTTGCAAGGTCAATGTGACTGACATGCTGTGACACATTGCAAGGTCAATGTGCTGTGTGTTCAGCTACAAGGTGGACCCCATTGTTTGATGATGTGTTTTTTCAGGGATTACCGGGTCATCCATGTTTTCTTTTGGTAAGCAGTCAAGGTGTTTCGCCTGGCAAAAATTTGGCAAAAGAAAACAAACAAAGCCTTTGTGCTTCGTGATGTCCATGGCGTCTCTGGGAACCGACTGACTGCTTCGATTTCTGCCCCATGACTTACTGACTTGTTCGTCCACGGCTGAAGTCAAGGACACGGATGACTCAGATATCTATACCCAGACACGACTAATGGGACTGGCATATTTACATACATTGACCCCTAAAACCACCCCAATGTAGGTAAATATACCAGTCCCGTGGAGTGTCTGGGTAATGGGTCAGGGGTCATGACTTCGCCCATCACGCTAGAATCCCCGAAAAGAGAGTCATAGGTCAAGAACGCTTTTGGGAGAAAAGGGCTTCGGACTGGGTTTCATTCCATGATCTTGTGGCACATTCCTACTATACTCATAAACCCAACAAAATATGAAGGAGGGAGCGAGAGAGAGAAACCGAAGATCTACGACAGTGGCTGGCCTGAGACTAGTTGTGGCCCCTTCTTCGATCTGGGGCCCCCTGCTATTGGCCTGGTAGTGCAATCCCAAGAGCAGGAAGAGTTTGATTCCTTTAAAGTTTGGAATCATGCCAATGATGGGCGCTCTAGTTGTTCACCTCCAAAATGCAAGGTAGACTCTATAGACATCCCAACTAGCACCGCCCTGCAGATTCATGAAGCTTGCTGTCAATTGCCAAAAAAAAGATCTCCTATTTCCAAGTGCTTTTCGTTTCTTTGGGGGCGCTTGAAACCGTTGCTTTTTCAAGGCATCCTGCAGAAGCTGGTGGAAGAGGACTCCGGCTTTGGCGGAGGCTCACCCACGGCCTCCGACGGCTTCTCGCGCACGGGGAGCACCCGCTTCCGGCCGAAGAGCGAGCGCCTGGAACAGTGGCCGGAGGGAGACTCCACCTTCAGCCGCCTGGTGTGAGGAATGTAACTCAGTCTGGCGACCGACCCCCAACAGAAGAAGGAAAACAGACCAGTCAACCCAGCCAGGGCCAGGGTGTTTGACTATTGAACGTCATAATACACCTTTATACACACCCATGTTCAATAACCAGTGGATTTGTTCAGACTCTCGTCTATAGATGGGCTTAATGATGTTTTACAGGGTTGGGGTGGCTTGACAGGGTTTGGTCAGTCCTTGAGTCATTTTTGCTGCTGATTTCTTGGGAGCCTCGCGGAGAAACCGACCAGTCCTGATCGAACTCGTCGTAATCGAAAACGTTGACAGCTTACGCAGTCGGTCTGAGACGGACGACGCAGAAACGTGCCCTGCTATTCGGACCACAGTTGGAACCCCTTTCAGCACTGTTGGTTGGTATGAGGAACATGGACAACGGGTGAAGGTTTGCAGGGTTCCAGGGGATCGTTGGAAGGCAGTTAGAGATGAAGATCTCCATGGTTTTTTCTCCGGACCTGCAAGATCCAGGAGGTTTTGGGCGACTCTTGACCATGAGCATCTCACGTGACCAAGACGGAGTTCCAAGACCAGATCTTGGGGGTCCGGTTTTTCCGACGGCCACGATCTGGGTGCTCTTTGAAGGTGCTTGTCACCAGGAGTTTTCCTGAAAGTGTATCCTGAGTATCTACACCGTATTCAGAATAGATGGCAATATCCGGAAACGAGTAGATGGCGCCAGAAAGTGCCAAAAGAGCCTGCGGAAAACCATGACAAAAAAATCATACATACCTATGCATCCTCAAGCATAATAAATGGCATTCCACCCATTCACAGAGTAGACTTGCGCCATCTTCTGCAAAGAACGCTGGTATAAGATGTTGATTTTT